AATAGCTGCTTGCTATGGGGGCACTCGGAAATGGGCAGGAGCTATGAGCACCAGTGGGTGACCCGAGAGGAGAGGATTCAGGCTGCTCTGTGCAAAATCATTGCACAGAGCAGGTGAGTATACCATGTTTGGTATTTTAAAGAAAAAAAAATAACAGATTCACTCTCAATAGGACAACATGATGATGTGGTGGATAGCACTGATACCATAGTGTGGTGTCCTGAATCCCCCCCCCCCCCCCCCCAGGAACATTAATTGTGTGGCTTTTCATGTTTTCCTGTTTTGCCAATGCCGATTTTATCACATAATCATATTATGCATACAGAAAGGTCTGAGGATATGTGTGTGTGCCTGTGGTTATTATAAATGTATTTTAGATTGTAAGCTGCTTCAGTACAGAGATGACACCATTTTAATACACTGTAGAAGTTATTGGTTTCATGTAATACAAACAAATGAGTGTGTCTAAAGAAAAATATGTTCCTGTTGCCCAGAGTATCCTCTTTCTGCCACATCCTTTCTCAGACTATTTGTTATGTTTATTTTCTCTAAATGTTACAAGCTTATTTCATGCACAAGCATTTCAACAGCTATGGAACCCTGCATAACGCGGAGAATAGATCAGACAAGAACTACCGTATGTGGTTTCTGCCTTTTACCAACTTTGGAAATTTTGTGTTTAGACAGATTTGTGAAAATGCCACAACATCCTAGGAATATAGCCTCACATCAGCACTAGACTGACCCATAATTAATCTGTCATCCCTTTCTCTGTGGCATGTTACCTATTTACTGCTAACCAACAGGCCTCTAACCTAACACATCTTTAAAACAAAAGACAAATTACATCAATATGAATCAGAAAGACAGACTATTGAAGCTTAAGTGCTTCCAAAGTCAAAAAGTTTTTTTTATCCTAATGCATTTTATGCATTAAGGTAAAAAACGCCCCAGTTTCCGTGATACCTGGTAATGCTGCTAATACATATCCAAAGAGTAATAAAATGATTAGCTGCTTATGGTAGCTAAACTCTAGAAACATTACTTGTATGCTTAGTGTTACATTTATTTTAAATAAACCTTATTTAAAACCAGTGATATAGTAGTCCATCTTCCATATGCACTACTTAGAAACTGTAATCTCAATATACTTTATTTCTTTTAGCTAAATCTTACCTCTTGGCCAAGACAATCAAGCATGTCCTACAACAGTGGAACAGGAAGCGTTTACTTGGTTTGACCAAAAAGCATCCTCAAAATGAATATTCTGCCAAGCTTGCTATTCCTTCTTCAAGCCCTCCCAGTGAAACTCCTGATAGGGTTCTTGGGAGATCTGAGAACCAGGTTCCGGGTGCACATGGCAGAAAACCAGCTACATGAAAAAGATCTGTTGTGACTCTCCCAAAGCTGAAAGGGGGAATATGTTTCCCAGACCCAGTCAAATACCACAAGGAAACCCAGAAAGCCAAACTGGTTTACTGGTGTACATAGTTTGATTTGTAATCCTTGGTCAAACTAGAATAAACACTAACCGAGTCACCACTGACTGGGTTTCCTTGCTATCTAGCTACCCGGACTTACGAATTATCATCAAACACCCACTTGTAGGTGCCTTGTTGTAGACAACTAGGGCTGTGTTCCGGGCTATGTTCCTTTCACGATCACCAAGGCCTGTGCTTCCCATAGTAGGCTCAGCGGATTTCTGACACATCTCAAACGGGATCTTTTGACTGATTCACTTCTCCTCTAACAACCATCGTATAGAACAGACCTGAATATTAATTTTGTGACCAGTCAAAACTTCATACACTGTGCATTTTCATACGCTATCAGAAGAACATAAAGCAAACCAGCTGCTGACAAGGCCTGTGCCTGTAATCACTTTGTAATAACACAAAAGGTCAAGTTCACTTCTAGTCTATTCACACAGTTTTCAAGCCATGATGAAGGGAGAAACCCTGAAACACGCTGGCTACTTTTTGACTTGTCCCTCTGACTTTTATTAGAATACAGCTGTATCTGGACCTCTTAGCAGTTGTATGGCATTTCAGTTTCCATTTCTGTTACATTTTATTTGATTTAGGACCATTTTAGTGCATTATTAACAATGACTGATTTTTTTGTAATTCTAAGCAAAACTGAAGAGGAAAACTGGACTTAGGGCAACAAGGGATCTATGATTGCTAACTTCCTTGTCAGTTTACTTGTTCCCTGGCTGCTGCTGGCTTCATTACTTTGGGTTACAGAACAAGCATGCAGCATGTAAAGTCAGAATGAAGTCAGAACATCTGATAAACATGTTTGCTCCAGGTCTGTGACTGAATATATTGGAGATATCGGATTAGTGTAAACAGCCAGGTACTGAGAATATTCAGAAAAAGAACTGTCAGAACATTACATCCAACATAAAATTTCCTTTATATGAGATGAATGATACTTCTGTCTATAATGGACTCTTGTGTTTTTCACTAAATGTCTGTGGTTAGCAAATATTACTTTTTTGCCATTTTGTATTACTGTTAATGCAACATGATGCGTGACAATATCCAAAGCCAGGAACTTATGGTGGGACATTTTGTAACTAAGTAAAGTCAGCTTGTGATCCAGCTCACCAAAACACACATAAAATATCAGCATTTTGATGGAGTCAACCTGTGACATTAAAAGTATAAGGGAATCTGGAGGTAGTAATTATATAGAGTACTATTCCCAGCTACTCAATCTCTGTCAGGAATACAGAAAAATGGATGGATGTTTCTTGCACTGATTTGTCCTGTTATTTCCCACGGGTAGCAGAGGGCAGTCTGTCTACGCATATCATCATCATGTAATCACATTTCTACAGGGGGACCACTCCACTCTGGTCTGTGTTCACCATACAAAAAAAACTATGTACTGCTGCATTCCAGAAACCAAACCAACAAAACAATTCCCGAAATAACACAATGCTGGGAAGACACTGTTCATGTAACTCATTCACATCCCAAATAAAAAACAGCCAGCATTAAAATTAGAACTCTTAGCTTGGATTAAAAAAAAATCTGGGCTACATTACAGACATCATTAAACTACAGTATTAGTTCTCCTACTGAGGCTGCAAGAAATGAAGAACTGAACACAGTTGTCTGTTAAACAGGCTATGTTTAAATGATTTGCCAGTCAGCAAAGTGCAGGGAAGAACAGCAGATACAAGACACAGAGGAAAGCCAACATGCTGCAGAATCGACAACAGTTTCTCCAGAGATGGCCTGAGCGAAACAATAGACAATAAAGGATAACGCAGATAATGAAAAGACAAGGGGGATGCCCAACTGCCAGCATCTCTCAAATGATGCTGCCAGGCTTATCTCTCAAATTGTTTATCAACCATCTAGAAAAGGGGGTCACCTTGCCCGAACCAATACTATATTACAATAAAACACTAATTACATTACCACCCTCATTTTGCTGCTAGCATGCACAGAGAGAAATAACTACAAATAATTCTTGCATGTTCTAACATTAATGAAGGAAAAAAAACAAATTGTACAGGGATTAACGTAGAAAAAGCTGCTATTTAATAATTAATTGTGTTTAGCTTTTGTTGTCACTGCTACTGCTCCGAAACAGTCGCTAGGGGGTTGACAGAAACAAATCTAAACATTATGATCAGCTGGAGCAGCTTGATAGCAGGGCATGATGACTTATAGTCAACAGAACTTTGAAACTTTCCAGGTCTCTTTTGTCATCCTGTAAATTAGGCATCTCACTTTTGAAATCAGTATTTTCTCACAAAGAGATCACTATAAGCTCCTGCTGTGGTTGATGCACAGTTCTTTAAGACACGTGCAGGAAAAGCAAGCTTCACAGGTTTACAAGTTAATTTGCGTGCATGACAGCCTCCAGTCAATACAGATGTTGTGCAGAAGATAATGAAATGACAGAAGACGCAGGACAGGCACTCTCTAAATCCACTCTATGACCTGTGCAAGTGCTAACATCCTTGATGCTGGCTTTTTGAAATTCCTGGGGATACCAGCAATGCAATCTAGGACCTAGGCACTGCAGACTCATCAGCAGGATGGAGCAGAAACATAACTGAATACTGACTGACTACTTCAAACACATTATATTATCCTTTCTATATATTATGTATCATTTATAGAGTGCTAGTATGATTTGCAGTACTATACAACAGTACAAGGTTTTCAGAATCCAAGCAAAAAGGTACAAAGAGTCGACAAAGGAGGAAGAGAAGGCCCTGTGCATGTGAGTTTACAATCTAAATAGATTACAAAATAACTATTCAATTTTTTTAATACAGTTATTATAAATGTTCAAAGTGCAGTAAACCACAGCACCAAATTTCACCTTTAATTGGTGTAAAAGGAAATATTTGTTGATATAGATTACTGTACTTCTGCCTTTTTCATTGCTGTGATCCCTCTGACATAATGAAAGGTGAAATCTAATAGCATGCTATAGATTATATCGAACTTCATAATTTTTTTCTATGTACTGTCTTTTTCAATGCACTTGCTAGTGTCAGTATGAGACAATGAGGCCTTAATTTTTACCTTCTACAAACAGCACTAGCATACATGGCACTTTACTGGAGATATAGTTAGAAAATTAAATTACTACAAGTAGTCCATATCATGAAAGTCCATAAGGTCAAGATGATCTGAGATGATGCATACATATTTACCTCAAGAGGTTCTGCAGCAGCATTTGTTTCCTGCTGTGTTTTTGGTAAAAGACATAAATAACTTCAGCAGTAATTGTTTCACAAAACAAACATTCCTCTGTAATGGACTGCTCATCACAAAATAACGTGATGTCATAATGAAATCTTAAGATGTGTTTAACATACTAGTAGTTTGTTATGATAACTACACCATCTTTTGTCAGCCTAGTACAATAAAGAAATGTATATTCTGTGCCCATATTGTTACATGCATATCTTCTTTGCAGTTGGCATTAGAAAAGAAGCAAAGCAGAAGCTGTTTTTTGTATCGTACCTGTCTCTTTGTCTTGTACCTCATCCAGGTGCAGGTCATTCAGGAGATGCTCCAAAATCTTCTCCGGAGTCCCAGACACCACCATGTACCTGTCAGAAAGCAGAGAGTCCACAGAGTCATCCTCGGTAGAGGACTGCGAGCGGCTGCTCCACTCGTCCTCCTCATCCTCCTCATCAATGTATTTAAAATAAGGCACATCAAATGTGGGCAAAGGAAACTCCCTGACAGTGAAAGCCGATGATGGCTTCTTGTCCATATGGCCATCAAAGACCCTCAGCTTTGAGCTTCCCATTGTGGTGTTTCAGTGACAAAGGGCATCCCCTATAATGTGCAGTGTATTCCCAAAACAGATCTGTCTTTGCTAGCTAAATCCATCTGCCAGCTGAGTGTTCTGCAGTCAGCCTAAGCCTGACTGTCTGTGTGTGTCTGTATGCCTAGAGGAAAAACTCTTACCTCCAATCAGTCTCGCCACTCCCTGCTGTGGAGGCTGGCCTCTCTGACGACACTTTCTTAAGCACCAGAACATCTTGGTCCTGTTCTCTCACTTGTACTGTGGTTCCTTCTTCATCCTGTTTTCAGACAAGAATGGGGATGACTTTAGAAATATGCTGTGTCTCATGAGAATACACAGACAGCTGATTTCAACCAAGTCCTATTCCCTGTGCAAAGCACGCAATGATTTATACTGCAACACATCACATTACATCAAGGGTTGTGAACTGATGTCCAGGCATACTGCTCTTATTATAATTACACATTTTAATGTTCGTAGCTCAGGTCACATTCTTACTACAAACTACACGATTGCTCTCCTCTTCCTCCCAATAAAACTGTATGTTTTTTCTGCATCATCCTATCTAGATCATCCACACTGCATCAAATCAGAGTTACACATATCAGTCAAATTGCTGACCAGGTGTGCACGTGTGTAACTGTCTGACCAAGTTATGGACAGAAAATAAATTTGTAAGAGGGGACATTTACTAAAAAATTGGAAAATGGGGATAATCTCTTTTCTATCTTTGTTGAATGCTGATATTCTTTTCTGTGAATCACACCAAATGACAAATGCATGGAAGGTGAAATCACTGCCGACTGAACAAAATGTTTAGTCTCCTTATACATAAGTTGCCAGTATAAAATATACCAAATACAATTATATGTCTTCCCATATAAATTCTAATGTCTACCTCTGCACAGACGAATTCACAGTTGTCATTGAAGGTTAGTTGTTATTTAGCTTTGCACAGTTTGAGAGGTCTAAAAATATATTGTGGATGGTTTTCTGAAAACTTACACATAATACAAATGCTACTGTAAACCAATGAAGGCCTAGTACTTTAGCACAGTGGTCTACAAACTGTGGCCGTGGGCCAAATGAGGCCCCTTTGTTTGCTTTTATCCAGCCCTGGGGGACTATTCTTCACAGTGATATAAGATACTATTCTTCCCACTAACACTGGCAATGAGACACTGTTCCTTCCACTGACAACAACAGTGGGGTATAATTCTTCCCACTGACATCAATGATGAGGGACAATTCCTTACACTCTTCAGTGACATCAACGATGGGGCACTATTCCTCCTCCAACTGACCACAGACGTTATGTAATGGTTCTACTCCCACTTACCACCAGCCTGAGGCATTGTTTACTCCCACTGATATTGGGGCCTTTCCTACTGTCATTGCCCACAGTCTGGTCACCTCATAGTCTAAAGGACAGTACACTGGCCCTTCATTTGGAAAGTTTGGAGACCCCTGCTTTAGCAGCTCCAAATTTGATTAAAGTTGATCGTCTCCATAAACTCCAGTTGCAATGAAGTGACTTTCACAAGTCCTTAAGTGTCCATAAATATCATAGAGTGGTTAGACCTTAGTGTGCCACAATGTCAGGAGAGGCAAATGCTGCCAGTACTGTTTATCACAGTGATCAGAACAGCCTGATTGTTCCCCTGAGTGTGTCTCACCAGCAGTTGTATGTGTGTATAACACAAATACAATATAATCACCCAATCCACCCATTTTGCTGATCATCTGTCATCTTGCATCTGTGGGTAGCCTTTGCCTAGTTATAGGCATGGAATAACAGTCGGAAGATATAAGAAAGAAACAAAGAGGTATATTTCCATATCCATACACTATATTTTGGTGGGAACATCTGTGTGTTTAGACCAAGCAGATATCCCTAGTGCCAGCCTTATCTTTGGAAACAATAGGAAAAATCAATTTCAGACAATTGTTTGTCCTATTAGATTGATCAGCTGGAGGAGCTTCTATTGTATTGGTCCTACAGTAACTTCCCAATCCAATTCTTAGATGGAGAGGAAAACAATCACCTTACATCTAGCGGTGGCTTAAAAAAAGAGAAAGCTGAAGCATAATTCAAACCCAGGATGACATTCACAAACATAAAAAATAATCCTGAAAAGGAAGAACATTTTAGCAGATGCTTATATTCTACCACTTTGAGTTTAAAGCTTGTAATCCTTTTCCAATTTATATGTATTGATGGGTAGGATAAGCAATCAACTCCAAAATACCTGTGGGCCTGAGTATATTCGCAAGTACCCACAGTAGCCTAATTTTGTCATACAGTGAACTATAAGTGCAGAAGAAGGACCACTAACTGTTATGTTTCATAAAATTTCCATTCTGATGGAATATTTTTCCTGAAGTGAGGCATTTCGAAGGTCTCATGCACATGAGCAGAAAAAAAGCTGCTTTTAGAGGCATTTTTCTTTTAAGCACTGAATGCAGTTCTATTTTAGCCAATGTGTCCATGCCATTGTAGTGCTTACATATTTATTTTAGAGCAATGTTTAGGGGCATACAAAATACCCCAAACCTGTGCTCGAAGAGGAGCTTACTGGCATAATTCATATAATTTGTAAAAGCACATGTGTGTAAATGCATTCGAGTGGCTAGAATAAATGAATATTTTGGCTAACACAATGAGTTTCTAAACACCATACACCTGTAAACCCGCATAAACACATAATTAGGCACCAAAATGAGCATTTTTTTAAGCTGAATTTTTCCGTCAGCTCCTAGTAGAAAGATCCAGCATACATATGAGTATTTTAATACGCCCATGTGCATAAGGCCTATCCCATAAAATGCATAATTATCACATGCAACATGAAGGGTAGAGAGAACTGCATAATTTATGGGAACCTTAATAAAAAAAAGCTTCAGAGGCATTTTTATGCCGAACACATCTTTAACAACGTCGCAGGTTTCTTAAGGATGAGAGGGTGCATACTGTGACTAAAGACAGGTTCTCTTTATATAGCAATATTAAGAGCACTTTCAGCCTATTGATCCATTTAAGGCTGCTAGCATTTCCTGAGGTCTCGAGAAGGAGCTAGTCTAATAAATTACGTGATTTAGGTAATAAAGTCAAGCAGGCTGGGTTGTATTTTGGAGCAGGTAAAAAATAGACTGCACTGCCATGTATTACTTTCCAGTACACTCACTTAGTGCAGCACTGTGTCAACGGCTTCACTCTAAGACCTTCATAAATACTTCATTTTTTTTTGCAGTTCTCAACAACAAATCTTAACTTGAACAATGCAAAGCTTAAAATGAGGGATTGAACAAAGCAATAATAATTAACAGCTAGCAGTAAACAAAGGAGATATAGGTAAATCATCATACAGTATAGCTTCCTTTCTGCCATGATAGATGAAACAAATATCTACCAAACGTAAGCAGCCCAATCACTCTATTATGCCTGTATAATATAAACCAGTTTGCTAAACAACCCTCTTTGGCATTCTTAAAACCCCTTTCAGACCTTTGTAGTTTATTGTGGTGCTTACTGCTTGCCACCATTCACTTTTGTGGGCTGGTAGCAGACTAGAAAGTGGACTTGCATATTTTTTTTTTTAAACACAGCAGATGGCATGTACAGTACACTGTGGTGCACTGCAGTAAAAGTCAGTTGGCGCCTACTATACATGTGCATTTGAGTGGCATTCAAAATGAAGGGTAACACAATGCATGTCACTTACATTGTACATATTTATGGTTCATTCATAAAAAGAATATATAAGGTTTTCAATCCCTTTCAAAAACTTGGACCATTATAGTAGTCACTATATAAGACGTAAGCTAAATAATGTTACAAAAGGATAAGCCAACTTCACTTCTGCAAATCTGCCATTATCATATATCCCTGGTCACACCTACTAAAGGCCAGCAATTACCCTACTTGCTGCTCACATATTATGCCTTGTGATAACAATTATAGGCAGTAATCTGCAAAGGGAGCTTTTTATAAACATCTACTATCCATTATGTAACTGAGCAGAAAAGTCACGTATAGGTTTATTCTACTGCCAGGTTTTATACAACTTATGACTCACTTTCCTGCTCTGTATCCTTCTAAAAAAAATCCAATTAAAAAATTAATTTGTACTATGGTTGTTATGTAATTTTATCCATTCAGCTATTCACCTAAAGCTACCTTGATGACCAGCCCGTCACACAAGGCGTTTCTACATTATGGCAATTTGATTTCCTTTGACTCTCTGTTTCTGTTTTAAAGGGTAACACTTGAACTCACACATTATGATCTCTCATTGTTCAGAGATGCAGCCATGGCTTTATGCGCAGGGCTGAGGATGGATGCAGAATTGTATGGGTCACTGCATCAATATTCTCTGAATCTCGGCTGTTTGAACAGAAGAAGCTGAATAATCATTGCTTTTTGCATACGCAGCCCAGCGGGTTTCCACAGGCAATGAAATCCTTCAGCCTGATCATTATGAGCGGTTTAAAGTACTTAGGGAGTGCACAAAACTATGAAGAACAATTGTCTCTTCAAGTTCATTTTAATTGTGCCCAATCAAACATTTCCATGTTTATACAGTAAGGTGAGAAGTATGGGGTGATAAACTGGTTTAACAATGCATAACATAGTTAACATAGTGAAAGCTGAATGTTAGAGAATAACCAGCTCTGAAGATACACTGGACACAGATGAAAAATGTTTTCAAATAAGGGATGAAATGAAAATATGTGGAGGCTGCCATTGCTGAACTATTCTAATAAAGCTTATTGTCTGATGGGCATACAGATCCTTCAGCTACAGTATTTTTTGAGCCACTGACCAGGTATGTACTTCACAAGTTCCAAGCCGGTGATTCAGAGACAGCCAGGCAACTAGCATCTAGAGAAGGAGATCCTCAATGGAGACCATACGGGTTTCCTTTAACAAATTAAATAAATCCAAAGCTTCACACAAGGTTAGATTGGTCTAAAGGTAATCCAGAATGCTTAAAGGCATT